CACACACACACACACACACACACACACACACACACACACACACACACACACACACACACACACACACACATAAATAAACATGTGTCCCACCTGGATAAGTGAAGGGCCAGGGTCCATCCACATATCCTATGTACGCTGTGATGCAGATTGCCAGGATGCCGTGCACCAGGGTGACAAGGCGACAGTTCCATTCGCAGCTCCTGGACCCGTTCACAGTGCACAAGATGAAGTAGAACGATGCCCAGCAGAACAAGCACAAGAGTGCACAAACCACGAGCACAGCCATCTTCCCTTCTAAAGACAAAATAAAGAAGGAAAGCTTCCAACAACTAAAAGGAAAGCTGCGGAACTAACTTGTGAACATTTAGCCAACCCTGAATCAGATTACAGGATGAAAAAAAAAGTTGCAAGGAGGCACATCTTCCTCTGTAATATCACTTACAGTAGAAAGAAAGCGAGAAATGCCATTGAAAGAGTCGGACTGTGCCCCCTTTGTAAATGACCAACAATTAGCCTTTGCTTGAACTATAATAGTACTATAGTTGGCTGTCTGCGAGGCTGGTGGGGTGAGAGGGACGTCTCATCTTCTGCTGTGACGTATGTGCTAGGAGGTGAGACCGTGCAGATGGACAGGACCACCCTCCGAAGACAGGAACAAGATGTGCGTTTGACCCTTGAAGWCTTCGAGCCAGTTTCACAACTGGTTGAGAGGTTACTGGGTGCTCGGTCTCAGACGGGTTCCCACGAGGAAGGCAAACTCTTCCAGCACTTAATAAACAAAATATGAGTTGTTTCAAAAAGGAATTGTTATCAAGGGAAGTTTGTTAAACTGCATTAATTCCAACTGCATTAATGAACTCAAATCCTGGCTTTCTTCTAGCTTTCTAAAACTCATCAGTGATAAAACTGAAGTTTTACGTATTGGTACAAAAGCAACATTATCCAAAGCTGACTGTTCTCCCATTTTAGTTGATATTATGTTTCCCCCCTCCCCTCAGATGAGAGTCTGGGTGTCATCTTTGACAGTACTCTATCATTTCAGTCTCACATGAACTCCATCACCAGGTCGGCATATTTCCACCTTCGCAGCYTTAACCGTTTCCGCTCCTCCCTCACCCCTCGTACTGCCGCTATACRTGTTCACAGTCTTGTTACCTCCTGTATTGATTATTGTCATTCTCTTCTCTTTCTTTCTCATAAATCCCTTCATAAACTTCAACTGGTTCAGAACTCTTCAGCTCGTATCATCACTAGAACCCCCTCCTACACATCACCCCTATTCTCTATAAGCCTCACTGGTTACCTGTCAAATTTCATATTGAGTTCAAAATACTTCTGTTCACATTTAAAGCCATTCACAATATTGCCCCCACCATATCTGTCTGAGCTCCTCCATGTTGCCACTCCTTCCCGCTCCCTTAGATCTGCCTCGTCTCTTCATCTCACTGCTCCTCTGGCCCGCCTCACCATTATGGGGAACAGAGCCTTCAGCTGCTCTGCTCCCCGGCTCTGGAGCTCACTGCCCTCTGAAATAAGGACCTCGGACCCTCTTCCCCTTTGTAAAGCCAGCTTAAAGACCCACCTCTTCAGGATCGCTTACCACAGCTGATTTTAAGTTTAAGTTTCATAGTTTGACTTTGTTACTGTTTTTAATGAGTATTTTATGTTTTTATGTGCAAAATTCATTCATTTTATGTTTAATTCTATGTGTTGCCTGTTCAGTGTCCTTGAGTGTTAGAAAGGCGCCAACAAATAAAATGTATTATTATTATTATTATTATTAAACACATTATATTATCAAATCATGTTTTGTCTACTAAATTGTGTGTGTGGGGGTGGGGGGACATGAGGACAAATCAGTTTTCATTTAAAAATCTGGAAGTCATATACTGTGTGATCAGAATACACAGCCTGGTACAAAAAGTAAAAGGATTATTTTTATAGCTGTAAAGCATAGATCAAATGCAACTAAATGCAAGACTTTGTTATTCAGTTTGCATGGTTTGTCAACACTAAAACCCTATGTGCATTGCAAAACTGTSTTATCCACAGTGCAACTGTAAAAATTACTCTTTTTTATTTTATTTAATCTGTGTGCATGTAACTTCATGGCCTGCTGGCTTTAGATGCAAAACGTTCCCATGACAACCAGAAACTGGCTATTGGAAGGATGAATTAAAATTATCTTCTTTGTCTACATGGGTAATTAAAAGAAAGGTAACGTAAATTGGTATATAACAAAAATGCATAAATAGTGCTTATCCACCTGCCAGTTTTTAAGTGTGCTACAACAACAAGCTAACAATCCAAATGCCTTCTGATAGCATAAGCAGGCTAACCAAGCACGCTGAGAATAGATTACACAATGAGAATACCACAATTATTTAAAAAAAAAAAATCTGAAATTATTACCTTAGAAGAAAACATCTGGCTGTTTTTCCCGATTACATCCTGCTCACTAAGTCCTCTGTGTAATAGGCAGGCTACAGTAAGGCTATTTGTCTTCCTTTTTTATTATTATTATTATTTTTTTAGCAGCACCAGTTGGCGACAACAGCCTCCATCAGCATCCTTTGATTCTTCTGCGTTCAAGWCTGTGAAAATTCCCACGTAACTAGCGGTAAAACGAGGATTGTATTGTGACTATATTTTCTACTACGTAGCTAAGAGAATATGTACACTGCACATTTCACGTAAGGCAAAAACACGGTTATGGCAAGCCATTGTAGCATAATTCATTTTAAGATATCTTGAATTGGAATTATGACTGGTCAGAATGTTAATACAGATAATAATATTAACATTCCGGATAGTCAAAATGTAGTTATTCCTAGTCAAAACTCATTTTTAGATATCTAGAATGTAATGACAGTCAGACGGAACTGATTTTATGCTAAAATGGCTTGCCATACTTCGTTGGTCTGGATGTCTTTATAACTCGATTGTAGGAAGAATGTTTTGTAAACAGCGACACCTTGTGGTAAAAAGGAGTTACAACTATTTCAGAAACAAAATGAAAGAGGACAAACTGCTGATTAGCCGACTCTAATTTCCCTCAAGTGGACCAATAAAGCACAAATTGTCCATTTGTACACAAATAGACCTCAACGTATTAAAACAAAAATCAAAATCTTAAAATGTTCTAAATAAAAAACACCAAAAATTAACTGCACAGTGCAAACAAAGACTTTATTGAAACAATTAAAAACAGCTCTAAGTACATTAACCAAATTGCTTCATTTTTTTTCTTTATAGGACATTTTTTAATCTTTTTGTATTATTATTTTTACAACAATTCAAAATTATTTAATAGAAAAATATGTGTAACAAATTAATCTACAATTGATATAACAAAAAAAACATCAGTGGAAATGTTAAGGCACTTGATTATCACAACAGACCACAAATAGGAATATCTTGCTCATTCGGTTCTTATGTTAGCAGGATCTGCTAACACACAAAACAGAAAAAAAAAACTGAGTGTGTCTTGCTGTAGTGTAAGGCCAAGCTGGAGGTAATATAATTTAAAAACCTACTGCAACCTGTTATTGTTACAAAAAAAGACAAAAAGTTATTTTGGTCCCACAAGTCCAAGAAATACTCCTTGCATTATGCATAAAATATTCAAATATTTGATAGACATAAATTATTTAAACAGTATTAACAGACATAAATACAGAAAACATTTGTAGCAGTGGGACGAAACATGAAAGCTATACCTTGGTCAACCAGAAGATGGCAGTATAGATTATTAAAAACAGCAACATGGCAGTGTCCAAAACACGTTTCTAGAAACTGAAACCTTAAGCTCTTATTTTGTATAAAAATCTGATCATTTTGTTTACTTGGCACTTTTTAACATAACAGGAGATACTCCTTACAAATGGGTCGTATCCAAGATAAACTGTCCCATTAGGTACAATCATAATCTTGTTTATCACTGCTGGTTGTACAATGCAATGTTAGAATCACAGACATACAACATGTGAATGAAAAACATGGAGCATTAAAATGTTCTTAAATGAATACTTGACACTGAGGACCTGTGGTGTTATTGTGACAAAAATGTACAAAACCTGTCCTCCACAACCAAAATAAATAAAGCCAGCAGTGGCAAAGCATTTTTTATCCTTACCTGTTTAATTATAAACAAGTTTTGCTGACAAAAGTTTTTTTTCACAGAGCTTTGTACCAAAGATTATTCCACCATCCTTATTTTCCTTCACCCGAATGGAGGATTAGGTTTGTCCAAGTCCAATGAGAAAGTATACGACACTGTTGTTCCACCGCTTTTGTTTAACTCAGCTGAAATCTATTGTGAAGCTATGTGCATACCACAACTTGTTCCAGAGGTCATTGTTGTTGTCATGTGTCACTCTCTCCCAAAATTCCTCAATTCCGAAAAAAAAAAAGGCACAAATGTGGTGGATATTTGGCAAAGTGACATAGAAGCTAAACAACCAAAAAGCTGTGGAGCGACTGTTTCCTCTGCATCTGTCCTCCTTTTGTTTTGGTGTCAGTTGGAACCTGAATACGTTTCTGTTTTAGGATACACTCCCTGCATGAGAAAGGTTAATTTACTGTCATCTGAACCAAAGTTCGGTTTATCAGGAGGAACTGGCCTGGCTGAGCAAAAAAATGTTCTTGAATATCCCGAAAAGGGAAAAATTCTAGGTCTCCTCGTCCCATAGGCAGAGCTGTTTTTGAGGAACGTAGTAGGTAAAATGGTAGCCCTTGCTGCAGCTCTTTATGCCGCACTTGTAGGTGGAGCCTTTGCCCCCGGCGTCCCGGCTGCGGCAGTACTTCAGCAGACAGGGGTACCACTCCAGACGCAGGCTGTATGTGCAGAGACACGGCTGCCACAAGTCTTTAGTGGAGTGGCACGCCTGAAAGCTGGACACCTCCGTCGTTTGAGGCAGCGCTTCAAATACAGAAACGTCCACTCCTGTAACACAAAAATAAGGATCAGGGTTGGCTGTGTTTAAAACAAAAGCACGCCATCGTACAGCTATCTGAACCACCTGCCGTTTGAGTTCACTTAAATAAATACTGTATTAAGCTGAAGAAAACGCTTTAGAAGAATGGAGGGTGGTTCAGTAAAGGAGCTTTGTTATGTTAAAAAGATGGTACTCTGATTCATGTGCAGATAACAATGCTTGGTGAACCATGACCGTCAACATTGTTTTTTCTTTAGAACATAGCCATCAGTGAACAATAGCGCTGCCATATGGATTCTCCTCAGCCTACATAGTCAGGCCTCATCAAGACCACTGCAAACAGCCTCTTACAAACATGTTTAACATCTGAGATAAAGAAAATACACACAGGCGCAATAATATTTGTGATTAATGAGGTTTTTTCTTCATAAAACTAAATAATAAAAAGCTAGGTTATCGATCTGAGTCTGCTAAATGACGATAGCATTTAACAATGTATTGCTTTAAGACGAAAGGTAAAGAAAGTGTCAATGTAACAAAAGAAGAGGAGATACAGTTTTAGAGACAAAGAAAGCACATGATGTGGGATAGAAAACAACAAGAAAAAAAAGAACAAAGCCCATTGTTGCCTGTTTCAGTGATAAACCAAGATCAGGTTACCTTTCTCCAGCCAGTATTTGACGTCTGCCTCCCGGGTGTAAATGGCCTCGTGTGCTTCGCTACACACGTTGCGGACGTGGGAGCTGAGCTGCCAGGCCCGGCTGAGATTCACCGCCGCCGTCATCGCCATCTGCTCCAGTCCTCTCCGCTCCTCAGCCACTCGAATGGCCTGTGGATTTTTCTGAGGGGACAGCGCCAACAGGCAGATTTGCATGACTGAAATCTTGGATAAAATGCAACAGGTGCATACGGTAAAAAAGTAGCAGTAAGTGCATTAATGACAACGTGAGAAGTTACAGGAATGGTGCAAAAAAAATGTGATTGTCTGCCGCGTCCTACCTGTCTGAGGCGAGCCATGGACTCACTGGGGATGATCTCATTGCGGTTGAGGCGAGAGACGAAGCACAGCGCCTGGTACTGGTTCTGCCCCCTTTCCAGCTCGCCGAGGATCAGCGCTCGAAATATCTTCACTTCCTGAAAGAGGCCAGAGAGGACAGATGAGACGTGGATTACAGTGAAGGGGTGCACCAGGCGAGGTTACCATAACTTCCCGCTTAAACGTGCACCTCAAACCCATTAGAACAAATAACTCTTTCCATTGCTTTACTTACATTTCCAGACACTGAGTAATTTAGCATGTGGAGTTCAAAGATGTTTAAACAATCATCTGACTAAAAGTAAAGTTGGGTTTATATTCACTGTGTCCATAAAGCCTCGTTTGACAGTTTGTTGATACTTTTTATTGTCTGCAGGCCTGCTTAGTGTTGCTCCAATGATATTCTGGGTAATTGTACTGTCAAATTAAAGCTGCGGGCCTGTTTATTGGCAAGCTTATCAGAATTTCTTTTTTTTCTGGGAAAAAGTCAGGCACATTTTACCATGCTGTTTTATGTAGGAAAATGTAGATATTAGGAAACCATTGAAAAAAAAAGGTTGGCACATTTGTGAGAGATTTGGCACCAAACCCAAGGCCTAAAGGGTCCCGTTTGTGTGTGTGTGGGGAGCTGCAAAGCATGATGGGAAGTTCAAAACAGTGTGGAGAGCAGAGCTGCAGACCTGTCCTCCTATTCATCAGACAACCCCACCCCCGTCTCTCCTTAGCTTCAGCACTGTCCCAAAACACCCCTCCTCCACTTTTCACACACCCCTCTGAAGCCAACAGGCTGCTGAGGAGCAGCAGTTTAAGGACTTTCTGGAAGGAAACTCGGGGACAGATCAACAGCCCTGAGATAACCCCACCGAGTCCTTCTYAAGCGTTTAAGTTGTGCTTCCTGTCCAGCTAAAGAAACAAAAAGGGAGTAAAACACCAACAAGAAAGCAACACATCCTGCCCCATGAGTATGTAAGCTCCATAGCTTTTAATTGACTAATTTGTAAGATCACCCTCTCTCCATTCTAAGAGCCACTTTTGTCTGTGAGAGGAGTTTTCTGGCAGGAGTACAATACAAACCAGGGGTATTACACAAGACAATCATGCGATATATTTGACCTTTGGAAGGAAAATGTCTGTGCAAATATTGATTGCATCTCTGGGAAGTGCTCTGGGGTTTCACTGAAGAGTCAAAGGAAACAACACAGAGTGAAATTAAAACCCCTTAGCTGGTTTTATTTGGAGATAATAAGAAGACAAAAGCTGGAAAGATGAAAGAGAACGTCAAGGGTAGGGATCGTGTATATCACAGTAAATAATAAAAAGAAAGGAGAGGGAGACGGACCAAGTACCATCACATATGGAGGAGCCGCCGCAGAGGCCACYACTTCCAAGACCTCCCATACTGCTGACACATGGAGCTACACTGTGACACTGGACTGAGGGAGAGCAAAAAGGAAGCAGGTTCGTGTCATCCACATGGATTTACCCCAGGGTTTTCTGAGTAATTAGAGAGAGGCAGGCAAGCTCCACCAACACCAGTTTTGTGGAGCTGACTCTATGGCTAACTGCAGGATTGGAGATCTCTTATCTTTGCCATTGCGTGTCCTGATTAATATTTGTCTACCAAAGATCAAGATACAGCAGCAATTCTATTTCGTAAAAAACATTTATTGACTAGCTGAAGTTGAACCACCTGTAAATAATACCAAATAAAATCAGAAAACAGTGGCTGGACATTTTGAGAGAATATGCTGATTTATTCCAGATAAGATGTAACTTGAGGTTGGGGAACCAGAGGAGTCAGCTGGCTCTGTTGTTTTGTTCATTAGTGTGGCAGTGACAGCTTGTAGATTCATGTCATGTGGGAGTGCCTCACTCTACTGTAGCCAGGGGTAGTTTCTCTATAAATCTTTCCTGCAAGAAAACAGGCAGCACATAGAAGTCTTTTTTACAACTTCTATTTGATGACAATGCGTGACCATCGGAGGGGGCTCGTTTTAAATCGTGTTTGATCCCGGCTTCCTAAAACAACACCACTCTGGTTTTTGGTCTACTTATGTGAAGAAAGACCAAAATGTTTATCAAGTCCTTGGTTAATGTATATACTTTTTGCTGATTAACATTTCAGAGTTTGAGTTTTCTTTTTTTTTTTGTTTGTTTTTGTGAATGACCAGTCTAGACTGTACTTATATGATCTATGAAATAAAACTGTTCATGAAGAAACTAACTCGTCTTTAAAGAACACATACGTATATTGCCTTAAACATTTTCTGTCAAAACTAAAATCATCTTATGATGAAAAATGGTGGAATTAGGGTTGGGTAATATTGACAAAGAATTATCAGGATTAATTGTGGCATTAGGCCGATAGCGATTAATATGAAAATTAATAGATGGCAACTGTACTTGCATGTAGCAAATGTGGTGGCCTTGGTTTGCCTTTTATTTATTTTTTTGCTTTCTTCATACTCTGGTTTATGTCAGTGTTTCAAGAGAGGGTAAGGGTTAGCTGCTCCATGCCACATTCCACCACTGGGCCCATAAGAGCACCTGATAGTGATAGTGTGTCAGACACAAAAATATGTACGTCATCACATGGCACTAACTGTAGTAATTGCAAAGTGGCAACTATTAATTGTTGGCAGTTTTATTGACAATTATTTGCACATGATACAAGTTTTCCTAGATAGAATTAGTTATTTTTGTCAAACCATGAAAGTAACATAAGTAATATTATTAAAATCTGCAATGCCTCGCAAAATGTGTTGCAAATGACTCAACTACAACCATATCAAAGTTTATTTTAGTATCTGTAATACTGACTGAGTTACAGCTATTTTGTTGGTAAAATCAGTTCACTTTGAGGGCCATTTAAAATTGGTTTTACTCCTAATAATGGTTTGCATATGTGTATCCATGTGTATTGCAGATGTAATGTAATGATTACTTTGAGTTTCATTACATCTCATTCAGTGGTTTGAGATAATTTGCTAGCAGAGTTTTAAAGTTAATGGCAAGTTTTTCTCACAGTCAGTCATCGCGCAAGTATGTGTTGTCTCAACCACACTAAATTTTAGCTAAATGTCTTTAAAACTGAGTTACAACTACTTTTATAGTTAATTGCAGTTAATTTCAGTGCCTTGTTAATTTGCCAGATTTACCTTTATAAATCATTGATTGTTTGGATAAAAAATATCAGTAAAATATATCATACAGGGGACGAACACAGTGATATTTGAGAAGTGAAATGAAGTTTATATCATTTACAGAAAGTGTGCAATAATTGGTTAAACAAAATTAGATGCATAAGTTTGGGCACTGCTGTCATTTTATTGATTTCAAAACATTTAGAACTGATTATTGGAACTCAAATTTGGTTTGGTAAGTTCAGTGACCCTTTACCTCCACACACGGTGACTCCAATWATGAGAAAGGGTAATTAAGGGGGGCAATTGTAAGTTTTTCTCCTCTTTGCATCTTCTCTGAAGAGTGGCAGCATGGGAGTCTCAAAACAACTTTCAAATGAGCTGAAAACAAAGCTTGTTCACCATCATGGTTTAGGGGAAGGATACAGAAAGCTATCTCAGAGATTTCAGCTTTCAGTCTCCACTYTGAGAAACGTTGTGAGAAAATGGAGGACCACAGGCACAGTTRAAGTCAAGGATCCAAGTGGCAGACCAAGAAAAATCTCCAATAAACAGAAGRGAAGGATGTTGAGAACAGTCAGAGTCAACCCACAGACCAGCACCAAAGACCTACAACATTCTTACTGCTGATGGAGTCACTGTGCATTTTTCAACTATTCAGCACTTTACACAAGGAGATGCTGTATGGGAGAGTTATGCAGAGGAAAACTTTTCTCCGCCCACATCACAAACAGAGCTGCTTGAGGTATGCTAAAGCACATTTGGACAAGCCAGCTTCATTTTGGAATAAGGTGCTGTGGACTGATGAAACTAAAATAGTTATTTGGGCAGAACAAGGGCCATTATGCATAGAGGAAAAAGAACACAGCACTCCAAGAAAAACACCTGCTACCTACAGTAAAGTGTGGTGGTGGTTCCATCATGCTGTGGGGCTGTGTGGCCAGTACAGCGACTGGGAATCTTGTTAAAGTTGAGGGACGCATGGATTCCAATCAATATCAGCAGATTCTGGATTTCAATGTCCAGGAATCAGTGACAAAGCTGAAGCTGCTGAAGTCGGGGCTGCATCTTCCAACAAGACAARGACCCTAAACGGTGCTCAAAATCTACTAATGCATTCATGCAGAGGAACAAGTACAACGTTGTGGAATGGCCATCTCAGTCTCCAGACCTGAATACTATTGAAAATCTGTGGTGTCACTTAAAGAGAGCTGTCTGTGGTTGGAAATCATCAAACCTGAATGAACTAGAGATGTTTTGTAAAGAAGAGTGGTCTAAAATACCTTCAGCAACAATCTAGACTCTCATTAGAAGCTACAGAAAGCATTTAGAGGCTGTTATTTCTGCGAAAGGAGGATCTACTAAATACTGAGTTAAGGTTTTTATTTGGTGCCCAAATTTATGCACCTGCCTAATTTTGTTTAACCAATTATTGCATACTTTCTGTAAATCATATAAACTTCATTTCACTTCTCAAATATCACTGTGTTCAACCCCTATATGATATATTTTACTGATTTTTGTCATCCAAACAATCAATGATTTATAAAGGTAAATCAGGAAAATTAACAAGGCTGCCCAAACTTTCGCACCCCACTATGTGTAAACGTACGTGTGATTACTTAAGAGTTTTAAAAATCCATTGAATGGTTTGTGAGATATTTTGCAAATAAAATGCACACATCCATGCACATATTCACATGGAGAGAGACTTGGGCAAAAACATTACATTGCAATTCATTTATACTAAAACATCAGGGTTTCTGCTACAAAACACACAGCACCTTCAATATTTCAAAAGTATTTCAAATTTCAGTTGGACACCCAACAGGACATTATTTTACTTCACATCAATTAAATAAGCTCAGGTCCAGGAAAAGGGAACCAGAGGTGTGTGGATCTTGTTTATACAGTCATGGGAAAAAGGAAAAACATTTGTTTGAAAGATTAAGAGA